AGAAAAAACGGATTTCCAAAATCCGTCCGTTTGATTCTTGTCCACAACCATTTTTTTTCTTTTATTTTTTGGCACAGATTTTTCTTTTTTTTTAATTAAATAAGCTACCCAATATATAAGTTTTAATTAATTTTTGAAACAATTAATGTTAGGTTATTGAGGACTTGAGCTATGTAGTGCTACTAAGGAAGAAATGGAGCTACATAGAGAGCATCCCAGGGGTATTATTGCCACATCCATCATCCTCATCATCATCATTAGCATACCACCAATTTAACCACCACCCACAAGAGCCTCCTAATTGGCACAATAACAATTTCCAACCCCACCCACACAACTACTTTGACCATTTTGCCCCTCACACCCCCATGAAGATGATAACCCCATCCATGAGCAGCCTCGACGCCCTCCTCTCGAAACTGCCTTCGGTCATGCCCTCCTCGTCGTCCGTGGGGCCCGCAAAGGAAGAGAATATTGAAGACGACGAGAATGCCGGCCACTGCCACCACTTTGGTTATCATCATCATGATTTGAATGTGATTAATAGTCATGATATGGATAACATATAGTATATTGTTCTGATTAATGTTGTGGTTGGAGTTTGAAATTGAATGTCTTTGGAGTATGAGGAGTTTTTTAAGTGCTTGTGATGGGTTGTTTGTCTGATTAAGGTTGTCACAAGTACTCTAGCTTAATTGGCAATGTTGTACCTAGATATGTATCACATTTTGAGGCTTTTCTAGTTGTAGTTGTTTTGGTGAGTCATGAGTTTGTTTGATGGTGTTGTAGCTTGAGAATAAGCATATCAAATTATGTGTGAGAGATCTTAAGTATGTTGTTGTTCTAGGTGGTGTTGTTTTGCAACTTAATTTGGAGGCAAGAATTTATCTTAAGTTAGATATATATGTTCATAAATTCCAATAATGGATGTTTCATTGAAGATTTATATAACTTTTGAAAATGTTGGTCTTTATTATACAAACTAGCTTGGATCTGGACAAATGCACAGATGTAAATAAAATATTATAAGTTGTGTATATGTCCATAATATTAAATGGGGCAATTTCTTTTACGCTCCAATATATACGTGCATTTTCTTATACACGCTCTCCCATCAAAATATTTATTTTTCACCCCACAACTCACGAAGTTATGTTCTGTATAAAAATTGCATATTCAAATGAACCGTAAAATGAACAAGTATGCGAGATTTTGTGGTATATATACCAACACATATTCAAATCGGACGTATAGTTAATAATTATGTGAAATACATATTTGTTAATCGGATATCCAAATCCAATGCATAATTCTTGATAAATTATTCCACATACATAGTAAACACATATTAAAATTGATATCATCATATTTATTATTATGAGACATTTGTTCACATATTTTACGACTCGCATATTGAAATTAGATGCATAGTTAACAATAATGCGAAACACTTATACATATTATTTAATCACGTATCCAAATACACCGCATAATATACGATATGCGAGAAAGTTCCGCATATTAATTTATCGCATATCCAAAAAGAATGTAGCACGTTTTAGGATTGTGCGAAATATTTTTGCTTAGTTTTCAACTCGCATATCTAGATATATAACACCGTATAATTAGTGATTATGTGTAACATGTTCGCATATTCGCGAATCACATAATTTATGATTATCCAAATCAAAATTATGAAAAAATTATTTTGCATATACAGTCACCGCATATTCAAATTGATCGTCGCATGTTTATAATTATGAGAAATTAATGTTTTTGCATAGTTTACGACTCGAATGTCTAAATCGGACTTATAGTTAATTAATATGCGAATTATTTTCGCATATTTTTAATCTCATATCTAAATCCACCGTATAATTTAACATATGCGTGAAAGTGCGCATATTTAGATATCGCATATCCAAATCGAATTTCAAATATTTCATTATTATGCGACGTTTTTCGCATAGTTTACGACCATATCCAAATCTATAAATGTTGTATAATTAACGGTTATGCGCAATATATTCGCATATTCATGAATTGCATATCCAATTTAAAAGACGCATAATTCTATGTGCCATTTTTTTTGTTGATCCATATCACGGGTCGCATATGCGCCGAAAATGTTTCACATATTATTTGCATAAAATAATAATTAAAAAAAGCAACGACAACAACTTAGACATATCCAATATCAACCTTGCATGATTTATAGAAATGCGAGCATATATCGCATACGATTCAAATAGTTACATATCGCATTGATCGACTTTTTTTTTTCACGTAAATTAGACATGTAAGATGTGAACTTTTTTGTCATAAATCTTACTACCATTTACCCTATATTCTTCTTCTTCTTCCTACCTCCATTTACAACATCCTACTGCATTTCTTTTTTTTTTTTTTCAAGCTTTAAGGCCTCATCTACTACATTTTTCAAACTTATTTGGCTCTTAGTATTTTTCTGTTAGAAATAACACTTTATGGCTATGAACCGTGTTAGAGTATGCGTGGACTATGACGGTGCGCTTTCCCTGGGAACTATATTTATGGTGTTGTAGAGCTGATTAAAAATAGATTATGGCCAACAAATGTATTCTGAAGTGGTTTCTCGTGCTCAAGCATTAATAAAGTTGATCCTTGTAATTTTGACTTTTGAGTATATATTGTGGATCGGATTTGATGGAAGTCCTAGAATTACGAAGATGAAAATCGAATCTAATGACAATACCTTAGAGTTGTTTCAGAAACAAAGTACTCCCAATATTTATGTCAAGTTGGAGCAAAGAGCCAATGTAGGGATTCCACAGACGGGGCAACAAAGCTTCACGCAAATGATGACGTCCAATGGTGTATGTCAGAGTCGTTTTAGTTTTGGTAGTTCTGCATTTTCCCATGAAGCCTCATATTCATATCAAGCAGACAACTCTTTCATCCAGCATGCCCTAGTTCATTTACACATACTGGAGAAGGTCCTATTTCATTTACTCGGGCAGATGATGATCGAACCGCGACTTATTCGTATGTAGACCATGGGTTGGATGACACACATGATTGTTCAAACCAAGCAGGTCATTCTCGTGACTACGGTGATGTTGATGACCGACCAACACACACAATGATGATTCTAGCGACGAACTACCCGTTTTGGATGAGGAGCAAATGTTCAAGATCAAGGCATGGTTTTGTGAGCATCTTCAACAAAAGCTTTCCCCGTCTCCCCTTCGTCGGGCGAACTTAATATCTCGCCATCTTGATGTTGGAAGTCTTTCATATATGCATTCAAGTAGCACACAACGAGACGACGTTGAGACATGAATGTGGTCCCTTCCTATGTAGCCCACGACATCTAGGTCAAATGGACAACTTGTCCGCTTATTCTCAAACAATTTAGAATTATGTTTGGAGTCTGTCTTTTTTTTTTTTAAAATATGGGTTGGTTCATGCCATCAATCTTTATCACATGCAGCAAAAAGTTGAGTGTCGAACACCCAAATCCTGCAAATTTAAGTTAATATTGATTTATCGTTATAACTGATGTCCTTAGAAGTTATGTGCAAGGGCATATAAAAACATGTGGAGAATCACTACTTTGAATACATGCGAATGAAGTTTGACATACAATCGACATTGTTCGACTTATTAGAATGTTCCATCTTCGACATCAAATGTTAGTTTTAATTAGTTGAGAACCTCAGAAGACTAATGATATAATCATGTCTCATGTCAGTTTTAATTAGCCCAGCCTCAGAAGACTAATGATATAATCATGTTTAATTCGCATGCTACAAACATTTCTATTCAGAACAATTCTTGTCAAGTATTTGTTTGTGACCAAAACTTTTCATCCAAGAAAAGTCGAACCTAGCACCATTAGGTTAGGTCTATAATAATAATAATAATAATAGAACATATTTCGTTAGTCCCTACTAGAATACTTTCATAGTTGGAATTGAGCAAGAATTTGCTACTTTTCAGTACATAACCAAAGGTGGGGGACCCAAAGAGAGAGAGAGAGAGAGAGAGAGAGAGAGAGAGACACACACACACACAGAGAGAGAACCAGCAGCAGTTAGCGCTTTCGACCTCTCATCTTTCACACACACACACACAGAGAGAGAGAGAGAGAGAGAGAGAGAGAGAGAGAGAGAGAGAGAGAGAGAGAGAGAGGGGTGGGTAAAGCTTCCTCTTTTTCTTTTTGGGGTTGTAGATGGGACATACCGCAATGAGAATTCTGGGTATTGCCTTGCTCCACATAATGCATTAAATCTACTCATCTCAAAAAGGATTTTAAATCAGACATAGACCTTGAACGAGTAAACTTGCACCAACTTCCACCTGAAGATTCAGTGCATAGGTGGATAATGGAACGCAAGAAATAACGAAAAAAAACGAGATCAACAAAAGAACACAGCCCAGATTCGAACGTCTTTAATTACTACAGAAAGATGAACACAAAAATAAAGAAATAAGACATACGAAGGAACCATCCAATTGAAGAAATCTACATTACAGATTAAGCATCCTCAATCGAACAAAAAAAAAAAAAAAAATGTCGCACCCCAAGCTCGCCTCAAAATTAACAGAGCTCATATGACATCTAATCTCAAGAAACAAGAGAATATAATCAGCATAAAGATACCTCTAATTGCTTGTAAGAACCTCAGGAGGCAACAATTTAATTCCAACAATTGCTTATATATATCTTTCTCAAAGTAATGTACACAAAAAAAGCCTTTTAGGGAAGGAAAAGCCAAACCAAATAATCGAGACAAACAAAATCATTATTTTCTTCCTCGCAATTAATGGGGCTGACAAGAAGATGCATTTCTTGGCCCTATAATAAGAGATTGCATGGTACCGGGAAGCCAAAAGCACTTTCAAAAATCACGTGGGAAATTGTTGATTTGGCCTTCCTCTAAAACATCTTTGCCGTCTGCTTTGTAGCTTATCCTTATCCGCATTACCAGGGATTTCTAAGAGCCAAATAAGTGGTGGGCAAATTAACATGTGCCCACCGTGGGTAGGTGAGCATTATTGTTCAGTAATATGCACATTAATATCACACACGCACACAATTTTAATCCACTGTCCATTCAACTTTTGTTTCTGCTTTAGAGCAAAAAGATGCTACAATGCATGCATTCGTACTTTTCGCTAGCAATAAATGAGTGAAGAAAAATGTCGCCACGATGTTGCTTGATGATCTCAGACTTAAAGTTGATTGAATATAGACACGATACAGTGTTGAGCTAACATGAATTGCAAGAAGATTAAAAGTTGTGTGCACAAGCAGATTCTTACCTTGCCATGCTGGCTGTTCGTAATACGTAGTTTTTGTGTAATTGTTCCGTTGCTGCTTGCAGGAAGTGCATGACTGCTAGCTGGATCCAGATGCAGTTGAAGAAACTGTGGATCGGCCGATTGGCCGAATAAAATAATTTAAAACATCATCATAAATAGAGAAACCTTCATCTCACAGTAATAAAGATTTACTTATTTCTCACACTAAAACTTTTACTGTCTCCTACCTTATCTAAAAATATAATCTTCGAAAAACCATGGTGAACCCAATGGCTTGAATAATAATCCAAGTCAATTACTAATCAATTAATTATGTCCATAACTCCTATGATTTTTCAATGTTCACGTTTCTGTTGCCATAAATCTCTACAAAATTAATGATCGTTGGCCCACGTAAATCTACAGAGATTTCCACTTATCGAGTAATAATCACATTTCAATGTCGAGTTGGGAGAATAAAATGTCATTATTATCAGCGGCCACCAAATTTATCGCGTATTACTTCATAATAGTCATGCTGTTTGAAAAAACGAGAACATATACAAAAGAAGAAAGAGAAACACATTCATAAGCACTCCATCTTGTGTAAGGACATATGGAAAACATATAAATTATATTAGTACATATTTAAATTACCTTCGGGACTGCAGCCTGGAATACAAAATTCGAGTAGGCATCAGGCGACTTGTTTGAAAACTGAGCCTCAATTTGTGTGGTCTGCGGATTTTCTGGCTCCTTTGAAAAGTTGAAAGTTACTTTCAAGGCTTCGCTCTCGAATGCAACTATTGATAGGGATGCTGGGCCATCGGATTTTGCAACTGAAAGCACAGACAAGAAGATTTTTTCTAACCCAAAAACAAAAAGGAAACAGTAATTACAAGAATAAACTATAACAAGATAGATTGATGTGATAGACATACCAGGCACCGATGGGGTAGGTCCAAAACCATCCAACAAATCCATCATTGAAGAAGTTGCCACAGGTGAAGAGGACTTTGCTGAAAGAGCAGATGGAGATGATAAAGTATCTAACATACTCTGTGCACTGCTGTTATCTTGACCAGGTGATAATATATCAAGCATGGACGAGCTACTTTGCACTGGAGGAGAAGGAGATATGTCAAGAATGGATGAGCTGCTTTGAGTTGTAGGAGATCCAATTGACAGAAGGTCCAGCAAGGCGTCTGTTTTGCTCCTTTGGGCCTGATTTGTTCCTGCAATATAAAAGGCCGAAAAAAGAACATGTTTTGTAACCATAGGTGTTTTACTTGATTCTATTTCCACCCATTAAACCTATAGCCTCCAATAGACAAGATGCATTGTCAGTTTATCAGGGAACAATCAACAATATTTGGAAACAAATTTTGTTTCTCTACCAATAACAAACTAACAGTGTAACGAATAAAAGAATGATAAAACTGGAAGGACATTATGTACGGATGTGCAAAACAGAAAAA